AGAGTACATGCACACTTGTTTGAGCATCGATGGAAGCCTTCCAGCATTTTCTTCATAATTTGATGGAGCCCAGATCTCGACTTGTCATGTTTTCTGGTTGACAAACGCCTGGGTCACATGACATTTTCACCATTTTTTTCTCGCCCGTTTCACCATCTCTAAAAAAAAAAAAGAAGTGCCAGAAAATCGTGCACAGGTTCCGCGGAGTAGTCTGCGTCGCAATCTGGTGAAACAACGCGTCTGGTATGAATTCAACTTCGCGCGAGGAATTCAGACTCCGATGATTGGTAATAAGGGAATACCCTGATCGGACCCCCGCGGTAACAAGAGGACTATGGATTGTGTACCTGAAGCTCTCTGTCCATCCCACTACGTAAGACAATGCTTGCGGCCGCAGTGACGGCCGTTTTGCTCCTCCCAAGCCTCCGCTCGCTATGCAGCTCCCCGTAACTTCATAGGTGCACACCGTGATGATCTTGGGGGTGCGCCGTTAGTTGAGTTCCCGCCGGTTGAGACTCCGCACATGCCATGTTGAATCTGCTAACCTACTGTACCTCCAGGCGAACTTTGCCTTCGTTTGGTCCCAATTGATGGAGGCAGTGCCAGGGCACGTCATCCTTGACTTCCACCATGCTACCCCAAGAACTCGTCGACGCCGTTGTCCACGAAGTCGAGGACAAGAAATCCCTGCGGGCATGCGCCCTGGCCTCCTCGTGCTTCCTCGAGACCAGCCAGCGTATACTATTTCGCTCTCTCAAGCTCAATAACCATCCCACCGCTACTGGGGCGTGGTCCACTCGCCTCTCCGAATCTCCACATATCGCGGCATACATCACAAACCTCAGCTTGCTGTTGTCAATCCGATACACTTCGCCTCCGGAGGTCCAAAGTCTTACGGACCTACTGGGGAAACTAATCAACATACGCCGGTGCACGCTTGCGGGCGAACCGTCCAGTCGCTGGGCCGTTCTGGCTCCGGTCGCTACCAGCGTAGTCCATTTCATCCAGCAGCAACCGTTGGTGGAGCTGCACATCCTGTGGCTCAGAGGCATTCCTCTTTCGATCCTGGCCGTGCTCGTCTCGTCCGCACGAACTGTGTCCTTCTTCACCTCTGATCCAGATATTGGTACTCCCGGCATCCACCCCGGAGGCGTACCCACATCAAACCCGACGAGCCTGCTGCTTTCGCATGGGTGCACCACCCTCTGCGATGTCCTGGCCCGCACGGAATTTTCCTGCTACATGAAAAACGTCCGCCAACTGGGAATCCGCAGCCTTGGCCCCACCGCAGAATACAGCGGGAAACTTATTTTCGCCGTGGCATCCACGTTGGAAACCATCCGTCTCGAATGCGATGGTATGTCGAACATTCAGCCGATTCACCTCGCTCACGCGTCCTGGGACCAGTACTTCGTGATTCGACCATCCCGCCACTGCCGCCGCTCACCGCGCTCCGTTTCATCGATCTCGTGCACGGTTCTTTCACCGTGAAGGAGGAACCGTGGCTCATCAGCAACCTCTCTTTACTTCTCGCCGCCAGTCCCTCCACTCTCGAGGAGATCAGCATCGCGTATTCCCGGATCAACCGCGTCTTCCATCCTCCATATTTTCAGCCAGAGACGACGGCGGCACTCAACAGACTGCTCTCAGAGTCCACAGCCTCCCCTCGCCTCCGCTGGCGCCTGAATCTCAACGAGACGCAATCACTGAGTGATTTCACGGCGTTCATTGAGCGTGCGATGCCGCGGACGCATAAGGAGGGGAAACTCGTCATTCAACGCTACTCGTTTGAAGATAGGTTGCATGAATGGCCAGTGTCATGAGACGTGAGTCCTCTGCGTCATCTACACTTATTATGATCTTATCCCCATCATAAAGCAAAAATTCATAACGCATGGGAGCACGTATCGATATTTCTAAATGTTGTAGCAGTCGTCTCCCCTGTTGGACTTGGCGGAGCCACCCTGGATATCAACAGGACAGTCTACCTTGCGAATATACCATCGAATCGCCACTGCTATGCAGCGGGACCAAAATCGGCCATACCCGACGAGCCAACTAGAACCACGCGTCTCAATTATTTTAAATGACTGCCTCTATTTGGCTATGTTTGGCGTCGTCGAGCGTCGGGCACAGGGTCATGTGACGTCTGGCGTCCCTCCTGCCGTCACTTTTTTCATCATTGATTCAAATTGATTGATCTCTCTCCCAGCATCACTCAGGTAGTACGCCACCACCGGACAAGATACCATATGTGTGGGTTTTCCACATTGTTCTCACAGTGGCTTTGAGACGGTGGCGTCCTACAGAGTACAAAGACCTGCGGCGAATTCTGGCTTCCGTCTGGACCCGCAACATCAAATCGCCTTGTTTTCTTGACTGCTGGTATCCTGACGACTCCCGAGAACAAGAAAGTCCGTCCAAAGTTTTCTCTGGATCAGTATCCTGATCGTCTTTGCAACAGTCTCAGCGGAGCGGTGTCAAGGAGCAGTCTCTTTGTTCCAAAAATCAGAGCGTATTGTTCTTCGATGGTATAAATTTGCGGCCGTTATGGACGATTGTATACCTCTGCATCATGTCCCATATCAACAATAGAGCGTCTGCGGCCAGGAGCCAGCGCACTCCATCGCCCCCACCTTGTGGCGTAGACGACGTCGGACTGCCAGTGACTCCCAATACTCCATCGACCCCGGCCAGAGGCAGGGGCAATCCCACTCATCACGCCAGGAGCGATCAATACCCCCGATCACACCTGGGAAGCCCCATTTCTCTATCTTCACCAAATACCTCGCCAGGTTTCCGATCCCAGGGTTCCCTTCACTCCCGACACGCATCTACAGATGCTCTGGCTGCATCATCATCATCGGCGTCGCCGAGTCCCATTCTTTCATCCACCAATACGTCGCCATCGGGCTTATCACCAGGTGCATCCCTGGGGTTTCGGGAGCGGCGTCTATTCACGTCTCAGCGTCCGCTTCCAATCACTGCGATATCCGGATATTCCTCGAACGTCTCAGACTCCTCGCCAAATGATTCCTCGCCAGGGACTCCCGGATCCGCACCCCTCGCTTCCCCTTTCCACTTCAAAGATCGATCTTGGGGATCGTCTGCGCCATCCCCGACCCGGCATGCTTGGCCACCGCCGGGGGGCCTTCTGTACGAGGGACATTCAAGGCGAAGCTCGATAGATTTCGGTTGTGCGTCCCATTCTCAGTCCAGTGCATCGTCGCCCTACGGAATGGGTGGCACCCCGGACGTATTGTCGGAGTCAGAATCAAATCCTCACGGATATTTCGTGGGACAGGTCTGCTCGACCTCCTCTTCGATATTCATTCCCCTGTTCCAAGCCTGCTTCGACGCCTCTCCTCTGCATGTCTCGACAGACGATCTGCTGGCGTGTCAGCGCCTCCTCCGGAAGCGGGATCCGAAGCCTGTAGGTACCGGCTTCGCCTGGGAGATCAGCCCATCCCTGGAGGTCAGCCCATCACCGGAGGTCAGCCCATCCCCCGACGCCAGCGCATTCCCGGACTCGAGCGCGCGCCCGGACTCGAGGACTTGCCCCGACTCGAACACGCGCTCGGACGCCAGCTCGCGCGAGAAGGACGGCAGGCGGCCCTGTATCATTGCGGAACTACCAGAATCACCCGAATTATGTCCCAAAGTCTATCTCTTAACGACCCTTTCAGGGAGATCGCTCGCTGAGGTGCCGGGTCATCTATCCCATTGGATGGTGCCGGTGAATATTCAGACGACACCAGCGGGAGAGCGACTTGAAGGAATCGACATCATTCCCGAGTGGGAGGGCGTGAAAAACCAATGGGTAATCCCGTTCGCATTTCGCCCGACAGACATCGCGAAACGGGAGCGTCGCGGTCGTATCAGTGGAGTGAATGCGGAGAATTTGATCAAGTTGAAGAGGAAAGGGGTCGAATGTGCGAACAAGTGGCGGGAATCCCTTTCGCTCAATCGCGCGCCGGACGAAAGGAGCTGGCGTCTCGTGCACGCAGCTCTTGAGGTGTCGATCGAAAATGAGGTAACCATATATAACCTCAATGTTCACCGCAGGCCCCTCATCACTTCTTACTAGGGTTCTCGTCTTAAATTCGAGGAATACTTGACACATGCGAGCAGCGCACACTTCCATGAGGCGGAGCTGGCGCACATCCACGAACAGCTCGCATATCACCAAGCCCATCTGGATATGATTGCAGCCGCAAACCTTCCTATATCTCCCCAGATGCACAGTCGTTTCGCAGGATATCACCGCAGGCGCTTGGAGGACCTGTATGTCAGAGAAAGAGGGGTGGCACACAATTTGGACAGCTACGACCTCGCGGAAAGAACCGGCTGGCAGTCTTTTGGCCTCGGTTCGAACTACGAAAAGATCCTACGCCTCGGAAGAAAATCAACTCGAGCCGTGTCTGTGGGTGATAATCACTCGCCCAACGAGCTGAACTCTGCCACCGAAGGACATGCAGATCTATTCTCACTGGCTGCAGGCGGGCCTGCGGTTGATCCGCCCACGGAGTCCAGCTCTCTTGTCGAAGGAGACGGAGAGATATCCTCGCAGGCTGCTCAGCAACTCCGCCACATGTTGGCTCGCGATGATGATCGGCGAATCCAGAGGCCTCTGGGGAAAGCAAATACCTTGCCGCAAGTCATATCCGAGGCGGTAAAGAGGGTCACACGGAATGAATCCGATGCGAGGTCATTCTAATATAACATGGGGCGATGACCATGAGAATCTCAACATTGTTTACGCCTAGTATTCTAATGTCTTAATGCTCAATTTTAATGCCGGTTTCCCGCAAGTGCTGGGCCCAACACATTCAGAGGTGCACTGTGCAGTTTTCAATGTTCTCTGCTCAAATCGCATCGGTCGAACTCCATAGCGATTTCGCTGTTCACCCAGGGAACTAAATTCCGTTGCGGTTCATGCTATCGTTATCAGCGAAAAACGCCGGCTCAGTGGTATATTCATAAGAGCGGAGGTCGCCATCGGTTCGATGGTGTAGTTGGTTTATCACTTCTGTCTAACAGCGAACCTCCTGCGTTTCCTGGTGCACAGGCGGTCCTCAGTTCGAGCCTGGGTCGAATCAAGTTTTGCTTCGGCGGGCGTTGCCCATCGATTCTCGTGCCATCACCCGGTACATCCGTAGGCCGATATCTCACGGAATCGACGGAGTGGCCGTTTTGGGAATTCCCTCACGGGCCACATTTCACCGCCACTAATTCACTGCACTATCCCGATATGACTCTCATTTGTGGAGCAGCGCAGGAATTCGATTCCTCAGTCACCCGCGGAACTCCCGCATAAGGAGCAGAGATCAAGATACTCTTCACTCGCTCCCCGTGAGCAGTGTGTGAGCGCAGCGTCACACTGACATTTCCCAAAGATTCAGAGTGACACTTTCCGACCCAAAATTCCGGCCATTCCACACCGTACTGAGCAACATGAGCAAGTCTGAACTCAGGAACGCCGTTAGGGCGGTAGGGCTCTAACCCGTCCGTCCTGTTCGACGGAATGGGTAAAAACGGTCGTTTTTTCTGCCACCCGTCCCGAACCAGTTCTAGACCTTTTGAGGCCATTGTCTCAGGCCCATACGAAAGGGTCCCGTCCGTGCGACGGGTGACGGCCGTTTCTGACGGTTGTTGGGATCATTTTCTTCAACAAATTCTTGAGCCTAATTCCTGTTGTTCTGGGGTCAGAAATCACCTCCTATTAACACAGTACGAAAGAAACTGGGTTCCACATAAAAGTTGTGATAGTGCTCACTCGGATGGTGTCAAATAGGAGAGATTTGGTGGAGATCAAAATCTCGGAGGATGCCGGTCATCCCCTACTTCTGGCATCCGGCAACAAATTTGAAAAGAAAAGCCAAAATCGGCTGCTTCCCGCACTGGCCAAAGCCGAGGTCGATCTCGCCCACATTTGGGCCAGATGGACCCTCATGTACCCATCAACCCGTCGACCTGTTTACGGACGGGTACTGGTTACCCGTTTACGGGTCTACCGTTTCGTACCCGCCCCGTCGATGCGTCCCAAAAATTGCGCTACGGACGGGGCCGTTCCCATAAAACGGCCCGTTGTCCCGTCGAAGACGGCAACGGATGAGAGCCCGTTTTCCGCATCCCGCCGTGGATTTACGTCAGGTGGTCCTTGGGCCTCTGCAGCACTGCCCCCATAGGGAGAATATTTAATCTCAGGGTTTCCCGGCTCACTCAACCCACAGACATGCAAGGATTATTTTTCCTCATAACCGCCGCCATAGTGCACGGGCTGGCCATGGCCAGCCCCCACGAGATAGCCGGCCGGGCTACGACGTAAGATTTATGCTCGACCGGCCCCGTAACCGATCTGACTTTCTTCTAAGGTTCACCATTGGTGCCCCTCTGACGCTCAGCTTCAGCCTGGACCCCTCGCTAACCGAGACCGGGTCCGCCGTCGCCTCCGCCTACGCCGAATTTGCGCAGGACTGCGGCGCAGACTTTGCCCAGGTCGTCCAGGACATGCAGGCGTTGTACATGAATTTCCACGACCTCGAGGCCCCTCCCGATAGGTCCGACAACAATTTCGAGCTGTTCGCGGATGAGTTTCCGGAGTATCTGAATGCGAAGAAGTCTTGTGACAATGCTCAGTTTGACTTGGATGACGCTGTGCGCGACGCCGATGCGGCCGCGCGGGGCACGAGCACAACGAGGCGAGCGCCGGCCACCACCATCGGAGGAAGTGGGGCGCAGATAACATCCACGGGAGGACCCACTGTCACATCGGGGCAGGCATCCCCAACTCAGTCCACCAGCGATGCCATACGCCATGGTCCCGGGGTTACATTTTTGCTGGTCGGAATAGCACTTCTATTCAGTCAAGGGGTGTAGCTGCACTCTACCGTCCTATTTTTTGTCCGTGTGTATAGCGCCTGATTGGAGATAATGTTAGTCACGGCGTTCGAGGTGCCCTTCTGTGTGATTACCAGCACTCAGAGACTCTGTAGCGCGACGTTCGCGTTTCAACTGCACGTGAAGACTAAGCGCCGATCGGAATAATTGGGACTGAGGGAGAGGAGATTTATAGAACAGAAACCTGATGCTAGTGGTACGGCGACATCGAGCGCTCATAGCATGCGGCAGGAAGACTGTGATAGCTCTGTGATCCGCTGCACCCAGCACCAAACGATCCACAAATTGCAACGAAGGACAAGCCGGTAAAGGGAGTCTGCACGCTGACCCTCCGCCCTCACCTTGCTGATGCCCACTCAGACCGGCATCGTGATCTCGTCCGCCTATGGAGTATACACCGAGTTTTGCCAGCCCACGGTAGCACGGGCCCTCCAGGACAGGCTAGCGGAATGCAACGCCGAGATGATTTTTCCAGCGCCACCAGCGAGGATATCGAATTTCAGAAGTGGAATCTGGGAGTCCAGACTCCAGACCCGAACCCGTTTGAAACACGCGACTGGCAAGATAGTCCGGCGACCCTGGTGATAGTGGAGAATAACGCAGGGTCTTGGGTTACAGCGACGCGCACGACCGAAGTGGCGATATTACTTAGTCGGGACTTCGAGAAGCACCGTCCCCGTCGCAGTCAACTGGAGCAGCGAAGGGCCGTGCTGCGCCGATGATCTTCTTGGTCGTGGGGATTTCAGCCATTCAAAGTACTGTAGAGTGTTGGGGTAAGACCCACAGAGAAAAGCCATGACAATCATTTTGGTGAGAAGAATCCAGTATACGAAGCGAGAACAAAAGACGCTAGGCGTAAATTGTGAGAGGCGGAACTTGAATATTCTTCATCCTCGTGCCTTTGTTTTCGAGACCGAATTGCCGATGAGTCGGTGGAGCGGGACGCGGGTGGCTTGTGGGAAGATCCATGGACCGTCGCGTCGTACTGCCGGGCACGTCGGTGGCAACAAAGGCGAGAAAAGGAAGGCCAGTGGCAGTGCTGATGGGCTGCCTACTATTTACGCTTGGGTGAGACCCCACTTGTTTGTCCTCAACCAAAACAAGCTGACGGTGAAGGCTGTGGCACAGTATCGGCGCACTTTAACGCGCGCTGTATACTACTGGTATCCGCTACCTCTCCTGTGACGCTCTTCGCCCGGTCGTCTGACTCACCGTCGCAATCTCCCGTCTCCGATTTCGGTTCCCAATCGGTTCCCCAATATTAGTCGCCCTTTCCAAGCCTTTCCATAGGCTCAGCCCGGAAATAGCTCCTTCTCATACAGTCCCTGTCAATGGTGTAGACAGCCAACGGTGATAGACGCCCCAGTATCACTGCATTAGCGCCTAGGTACAGCTCCCGCTGATTAATTCTGCACTGCCATGAAGAAGCACTCGTCTGCCTCTCCTTCGCTCCTCCACTACACGGCTTTGTTCCTTTGACTGAAACTTGCGGATCCCTCACCCAATGTCTGTTGTCGTACCAGAAGCCAGCGCCATCGACGCCGACCCCCAGCACGGTAGCTTTTGGCGTTCCCTGCGCGGACTGGTGTCACCCGCGAGAGTACGCACAGAGACTTGGGAGCACACTCGGCTAGTATGTCCCATCCCATGCATCCCTTTTTCCGTCCATTTGCTGACTCTCATACTCCAGCACGTCCGCCGGGCTGTGAATATCCTGAACGACCTCAAAGCGGAGACCCTCGACCATATTGCATCCATACTCCAAGACATCAGTAACTGGAACACGGCAGTGACCACAAAGGTGGCTTGCACGCGCCCGTGGTTCTATCACGCACTTAATTTTTTTTATTTAGGTCAACGAACTAGCCCTGAATCTCGTCGAACTCTATGTGACCCTCTTGATCTCGATGGCGCCAGAGGTTAAAAACCTGCCGCCGGAAGTGTTTGAGCAGCTCGCTGGGTACGCTCTTATTGTGCAACTCCTTGCCCGAATGGTAAATTAACTCGTGCGTCAGTATCTTGACCCAAGTCCGAGACTTGCTGGAGCACCGCTCCCGGCTCTCGCTCGTCCAACGCTCCTTCAGGCGGAAAAAATTCCGGGACGAGATCGCAGTCTACCGCATCGCGCTCATAAATGTCGTCAAGCTCAAACCGTGCTCCGTGAGTCACTCGCCGTCGTCGTGCTGTTTAAATTAAGTTAAATTAATGTGTGTTGTGCAGAACTCCAGCGCCATCCGCCGAAACTTCATCTTCGAGTCGCAGATCCGGCTGCACGATTCGGAGCCTGGCACCGGTACGCTCTCCGCTTCGCCAGAGCTGCATTCGGGGGACGACGACCGCTCGGACACGAGCAGCATCGATTTCGACGCTGTGCGCGAAGCGACGTATCTGCGCCGCCCGCGGCGGCGAACCACCACGCGCTCCAGCTCCAACGACAGTGAGATCGTGAAGCCTGTGCAGGTGAGAATGCGCATTCTAACTCATACAGATATTCTCAATCTATAAACACAGTACGCGTCTTACCAGCGCACTATCGCGCTGTCCCGCGGTGAGAGCCAGAGCACGGGCTCGCCAGCGACGACGGTCACGCTCATCCCGACGCTCTTGGATTCCGACAGCATTTTCGCGCCCGACGTGCATGGTGGTTTGGATTTGGAGTGTGCGCCGCCGGAGGGAGTGGGCGATAGCCCGAGACAGCGGCGCATGTCGGACGTCGCTGAGGCGCCGTCGGAGGAGTCGCCGATAGTTTTGCCAGGGGGCAAATCTCCGGCGGCTCCTCTGGATCCCGCGAGCACTGGTGCAAGCGCCGAGGCTTCCACCCCCCAAGCAAGCACCTCGTCGCTGGCTTCCACCTCGCACTTTCCTATAATCTACCCGTCTGCCACAAACGCAACGGAGCCGCTACCGTACGCAATCCCTCCTCCCGTATCATCTGGATTGTGACAAACTTCAAACAGAAATGGGCCGGCCTTCCGATGCGAGGATCCGCAGACGCTCGACACCGAACTCCCCGCCGGCGGCATGAGCGTATCCGTGCACTCGCCCACCGCCGCCATCGCGTGGGTCGAAGCACACTACGACGACCCCCTGCTCACGTCCCTCCGCGCGCGCAACTTCACCGGTCCCATCGCCGTGCAGCTCTCCCCGGACGAGAGCGCCCTCGCGATATTTGGCTCGATCGCAGACGCGTTTGTGCCGC